TAAAAATATACTTCATATCGATAAACAAATGAATAAATATTTTTGTCATGTATTTTTTAAATATAATTTGTCCAATAATATCATATATCTTCTACAAAAATTTTTCATAAATTTTAATACTGCAAAGTTTATGAAAGAGATCGATTTTAGAACAAAATAATTCGTGAAAATAATTCACCTTAACTTCATAAATGCTAGCATATGAATAACTCCGAGGGGAAAAGGGCATAGATAAAAATTTTCTCAGCGGGAAAAGAAAAAATAATTTCTATGCAAGCCAAGAGAGAAAAAGCTATTGCCACATAAATTAAAGGATTTTCTTGACCTAGTGAACCATTTTTTATCTAGATTATATCATATTTTATACAAATTTTTTATATAAATTCATGGACAAAACTAGAGTTGTTTTCATTGTTTTCTTAAAAAAATAAGGAAATATAATAAATGTTTAAAAAAAGTTTTAGATTATTTTAAATAAAACACTTTTTTTGTACTACTTTATTTTAGCTAAAAGAATAAAAATATATTGAAAAAAAGGAATATTGGGAACCAGAGTATGGGCGTATTTGAAACATTAAAGATTTATAAGAGAAAATTTTAATAAAAAGTTAATAATAAATTATTGTTATCTGTTAAAAAATCTTTAATAAAGTATGATATTATTTTATTTTCGTAATTAAATATTATTGTATTAAAATTTTATTTTCATTTAAATTAATATAATTAAATATAGCTTATATAATTAGAGATTTTTACGTCTATTCTTCCGTAATGGATAAATTTCATGTTGAGTAATTTAAACAGAATCACTATGTAAACGGACATTTTGCCTTACGGATAGATTTAACATCGAATAAATATGTTACTCATCTAGCGAACACCTTGGCATAACGAGATGGTGCAGCGAGAGAGAGGAAGAAGTCCATCAGGAAAATTGAACAAAACTCAAATTGATCCGGAACTCGCGGATCCCCGTGGCTTTTCGTCGAAGCTTCCGCTTGCTGTTCCCGACAGTAATTAAATAAGCCGAGTTATACGGAGGAGGAAAGTTCGCGAAATTCGCGAACGCGCCGCATATATGTTAAAACCGTCCGGCTTCAGGAAGTTTGCGAACAAAACGTTATTGCACGACAAAGGCATCGCTAGCGATATCATTTGCTGTCATATTTATAAAATCTCACTTATCATAGATGAGACTATCTCTACTGAATTGTGAAGAAAGAAGCATAAAGAGAATAACATAAAAGCTAAAAAGAAGACTTAGAGAATTCAATTATATATCTATAATAAATATACATATAATTATAATGATATGATTATATAAAACTATCAAAATATAATTATAAAATTATTAAAATATTGACTTCTCTCTCAATTAAGTTGTCGACTTCAAATAAAATTATGAATAAACTTATATTATTATTTACATACATCGTTAGAGTTTAAAAAAATAAGAAGATATAATAAATATTTTTAAAAAATTCTAGATTTTTTACATTGTGTGGTATATCAGAAATATATTTTGCGATATATATGCTATTTCGTGGATGAAATAAATCACAAGACTAGCGAATATCATCACAGTGTATGCAGCCGTTACAGAACCGCTGCGGTGGATATGGTAGATGCAACATATGCAGATAATGCGCGAAAGTTTTTAAACAGCGCACTTGGGATAGTCGTAATACTTCGTGAACCGCACGATAGCCGTTGCTTTGTTTCGTACTTATTTCCGATTGCGAGAGAAACTCGTCTTGGAAAGCACCGCATGTTGCGTAAAGGCAGGTGCAAGTCCAAGACTTTGTGCAGTGTTGTCTCGACTTTGCAATATTTGCATTTAATTTTGACTATAGTAGCTACGGAGTTGCTACTACTTCGTAAAGTTGATACTCTTGTATGACGATGACAGTTACGCTGAATCGCACAAAAACGCGTTGCATTGTCAGCATTTATAGTAATAAAGATTAAAACTCTGCGCAATTTAAATATTTGTTAATAAGCAATATGTTTTTTTTTGCTATATTCTATAAAATATAATAAAATGTTTTGTTATATTCTCATAAAAACAGACCATAAATGTATGAATTATAAGTTTTTACTTCTTTAGTTATTTGAACCCGGATAGCATAGAAAGTTTAAAAAGAATTCTTTTTCTTAAAAAATTAAGTTCTGAAAAAAATTAATTCTTTTGCATCTAAAAATGAATTCAGAATTGATGACATACAAATTCTTTTTGAATTCTTTTTGAACTCTCTCTGCTATCTGAAAATAGATCACGTTTCTATTAATATTAATAAAATGTAATAATTTATGAAAAATAAGGGAGTCTCTTTAAAAAAACTATGTTAGGCGACTTTCTTCTTAACTTTCTTCATATTTTATATTTATAAAGATACGCGCGAATTTCCATCTCAATTTAATTGATTATGTATATCTCCTCTTTCTCCTCTTCTCCTCGTTTCTCACTCTCCCTCTGTCGACTTTCTCGCGACAATTCCATAACATAAAGCAATATATACTGGACCACAAATAATAACGCACGAAACTGGCACTTGCCGGGCACAAAGGGTGCAACGTCCGCAACATCATGGACGAAGCAGAGACATATGAATATATGTACACCCCGGAACATTTAATATAACTTCGCAACTGGCCGAAGTTTCGACACAGCGCGATTGCCATACGTCGCACCGCGAAAATTATCCATAACACCGCGGTCCATTCAGCGCCTCTTACCGTCACGCACGCTTCGTGTATGCTAATTGTACCTTGATAGAATTCGAGTTTCGAGAGACGAAGAGAGTACAACACGCGTGTACAAAACACGAGTTGTTTATTTCGAAAGTTATACGAGTAGAATGCTAAATTTAACCCTCCGCTCGGATAATCTCAACCTTTTTTTAATCCTCTATTGTAACATTTTCCACATGTTAAATTATATTCTCTTATTTACATCAAAAATAATGTAAAACATTACGCTTTGTATTATATAATTTTGTAAATAAGAACAAAAATGCAGATATAAGAATTATTATACATATTTATATAACATTCCAAAAGGTATAAACGCGAACTATTTAAATGCATTATAAATAAGTTAATAAGGTTTATTTGAATAAATAAAGTAATTTCAATTAAGTAATATAATTTTATTAATTTACCACTGAAAGCTACTTTAGAGTCGCTTTAAAGCCACTGAAGATATTTTAAGCTCATACAGTGGCTACAACAGTAATACGCTAATACAATGTAAATTAAAACAGCTTAATAAGTTTAATTAAAATCGCGCGTAAGCCCAGATACCCATATTATTCGACGATGAATTCGCGATTGCAGAGAGAGATTCGCAAAGGATGGCATCCAATCAACGTCGAAATGTGGTGCAATCGGAAAATTCTCGTGGTACAGCGCGGTACAGCGTGTTACAGGAATTGACTCGTATTTCTATGGCTTTTGCATATAAGCATGATTCCATTATGCTAATTACATTCGACTATGATATAGGTAATTAATAATTAGATCGGAAGATATTTTAGCAATTCATATATGAGAAATTTTTTTCTGATAAAGATACCATAATGCGTAATTCTTGTATAAGAACTCCAGGACACATCCCGGTATTATATGGCGCGTAATATCGGGTAGTCGCCTATAGCGATGGAGCCCTCCACTCGATCGAAGCGCGCGCGTATCGTGCTTTTATGCTAA